TGCCCCTGACTCGAGGCACCCAGCAACAGCGTTAACCCCACGATCGCCGGCACGTGACGGACGAGGTCCTTCACTCGTCATTAACGCTTAACCCCTCATTAAGGGGTTAAATATGTTTTAATAAAGATGAATTCTGAGTCAAAAAGGGCAAAAAAGGATAAAAAAAGATTTATTAGTAGGAAAAAAGTATGATAAAGGACACATACAAAAACCCCGTACAAAAATAGAAAAAATACAGTGCACATGGGAAGGGAAAGGGAAATAAAAAGGAAAAAGAATATTTAGTATTTATATGCTGTTTCTTCCCTGACACCTTACCTATAATCCTAAGATTAATTAACCACAGCAAGCCTCAATATCTGCCATTTTATTTATTTTTATTTGATGTCAATGTTGATGCATGTTTTTAAATGTTTGGTATAATGCAATAATATTGAAAATGTCTTTATTCATATATGAGATATATTGGAATTTTGATATGAAGAATTTGTATGGGAATAAGTTTCAACAAATAAAAAGCAATAAAAAAAATTAAAAACCAACACCACTTCTGAGAGATGTCAGGGTGGAACCAGTGTAGGATATCAAATAGGTTTCAGAAGACCCTTAATAAGAGCCTCTACTTTTGTTATTGTTTCAACAAACCAAACCAACCAACCACTCACTGATAACAATGTGGTTCCAAGATGGACCTTGTGACCTCTCTAAGATTAAGTAAATAGGGTGTCCTTTTGACTGCCCGAGAAAAGACAAATCTGTTCTGATAGATTTGATTATAGCATTTGATTATTTTAACCAAATTGTATGAAGTACATTAAAGGGTTTTTGGCTGTGGATCACATCCCAGCACCCTTTTGAGGCACAGGGTGAATACCTAAAGTTAAAATACTAATAGGCTTGCAAGTGATGAGTAATCATGTCTATATTGTTTAGAAAATAGAGTTCAGTGGCATGACAAAGTTTTGGGTCTGAGAGAGATGTGTAGAAAGAATGTTAAAGGAGTGTACTCAGAATGGTAGTAACTGTGATAAACCAAGTTATGTATAGCTGTCTACCACTCAGAAGTGCATTTATACAACATCTACATAAACTGGACATCTCCAGACATGATGAAAGAGACAAACATCAGAGACACATTTGTTGTTGAGGTCAAATGTTTGAAACAAAAACAAATTTGCTTTTTTTGGGGGTGTGGGGGGGAATTTTATTCTTTATTAGACCTAAAATTTTGAATTTATTTTTATTTCCCAACAAAGCAATGAATAGTTCTGAGGAATATGCAAAATGAATGTGAGTTTTGATAGATACTTGAAACAATTAACATAAATAGTCCAATACCTTGAAAGAGAGCGCATACATTGAGCACACATGGTTAAATTCACTGATATGTGCAAAGTTCATTATAAAAGCTAAGACAATAAATACGAGCTCTTTTCATAACAAAAGGATGTACAGACTCTTAATACAAATAATTGCCAGCAGCAATGCTATAGTGGAACAATTTTAAACTTCACAAACTATTATCCTTTGCTATCACCAACACATCTAGAAGAGATATACTATCACCTTGCTTAACCTCCACAGTAAAATTAATTTGCTTTGGATAGACTCCATTAATTGTCCATAAAATAGATCTGACTCGTTGCTTTTATAGAGACCGGCATGTCATCAGAAATACACAATGCCTTTAGCAAATTGGCCTACCATTAACCATGGTAATAAAATACTTTAACAAAAATGTGCCTGCATTTTAATATTTGAATGTTAAATCTACCTTTTTTTTTTCTTTTTGGCTCATTCACATTGTCTTAAGTTGTTTTCTATTAAAAGAGAACGGGTTTGCTTAACCAATTCGCTAAAAAATCACTTCAGTAATTGTGCACGGTTTGTTTTAACTCTGGATGGATTGCAAGCACATAATTTTAAATAAAAACAGTAATTTTGTATTTGAATATTTTGTTTATTTTTATAAAATGCAAAAACAAAATAACATATACTATGAGTCATGATATTTGGAATTTGGAATTTTGTTTGCTGTGTCCATTGCAAATAGCCACTGCCATTTTCAAACTTTCAATCACTAATTCACAGTTTGAGATTTGTTTTTTTTTATAATTAAAGAGGCACTATATGCTTTGTTTTCCTTAATCTTTCAACGTCTCAAAATATTTCAAAATGTTTGAATTTAAATTAAAATTAAACTTTTTTTTTCAGATATAATTCTTCATCCCAAAATATTTATATTTCTATTTGAACAAACTAACTTTTTTCAGTGTGCACAAGTCTAGGAAGAAATATATATATATATATATATATATATATATATATATATATATATATATATATATAAAAATACAATTTTAGCTTAATTTAGGTCAAGGCCACAACTCCCCTAGCTTTGACTGACACAGCCTGTATGAAGGAAAATTAGTTTATGTTAAATCAGATGTTAACTTATTTTACAGGTTTTTATCTCCTACTCTGTAAATAGTGCAGAAAATCATGAACAGGAGGCTCCTGCAAGATCTAGCAAGCTGTTAACAGTGCTGGAGATAATTCATTCTAAATTAAACAAATTGTGGAATAAAGACAGTATAAACAATAGATATCTCTTTACATGAAGTGTTTAGGAAGGCTGTGCACTTTACATGCAGGCAGGTGTGACAAAGGCTGCATAAACAAAGTGATTTAATGCCTAAATGGCAGAGAACTGTGCAGTGAGACTGTCATGATTTATAAAAATCTATACAAAAACTGCTTCTAAGCTAAAGTTTCTTTGGTGATATAGTGTTCCTTTAATGCAAATACATATTTGGGAATGATGTATACAATGCTGTTCAGAGGCAAACATAGGATAGAGTAACACATTTTAACAACATAATAAGAAACATAGTAGCCTCAGAGTGCAAATCCTGGTCACGCTAATAGTTGTAGTAGTCATAGGCCTACTTGGAGAGATCTACATATCCTACATGTAGCAAATTTCTGAATATTCATAATATATCATTTTGAAAGAACCAAAAAATATCCACCTAGTCTAGAAGTTGCTCTCACGTAACTCAAATTTGAATCACAGTTTGAAAGTTTTACTGTAGGTAAATTTTCTCCTACTTTTAAGGCTTCCCTGGAATTTTTGAATCGATTCAAAATTTTTCAAATTGAACTAATTTCAAACCAAACCTAAACATTTATGACCAAAATTCTTCAAAATTGAAGTAATTCTAGTATTCACCATATGGCTTTAATGTCATGACATGCAAAAAGGAAACTTTTTAATGATACCCAATGGGTCAGTGACTTACGGGAGTAAGCAACTATGAATGATACTGAAATGGAGACTAAATAGAATTTGTGGATATTTGGAGCTCCCACGCCTCCATCTCAGATTGAGAATTTGGATGTTAATGCAACGCCTTGAACACTTTACTATATTCCTCAAATCATTCCTGAACATTTTTTGCAGTGTGGCAGGGTGTATTATCTGTCTGAAAGAGACCACTGCTATCAGGGAACACTATTTCCATGAAGGGGTGTACGAGAGTACTGTAAGAATCTACTAGGTGCTATGTGTCAAAGTAGCATCCACATGAATGCCAGGGCCCAAGGTTTCTAACAGAATATTGCCCAGAGCATAACCATATCTCTACCAGCCTGCTTTTATCCCATAGTGCATTCTGCTGCAATACCTTTACCAAATAAATGATAAACATGAACCTGGCCATTTAGATGATCTAAAAGAAAACATGATTCATCAGACCAGGCAACCTTCTTCCATTGCTCCATGGTCCAGTTCTGATGCTAATGTCCTCATTGAAGGTGGAAGTGAGCATCACACAGGGGCCATCATAGGCACTCTTACCAGTCTGCAGCTACACAACCCCATACACAGAAAACTGTGATGCACTGTGTGTTCTGACACCTTTCTATCATGGCCAGCATTAAGTTTTTTCAGCAATTTGAGCTACAGTAGCTGTTCTGTGTGATTGGACCAAATGGGCTAGCCTTCGCTCTGCATCAATGCGTCTTGGGCGCCCATGATCTTGAATGAGGATCACAAGTTTTCCTGCCATGCACAACGTTCGATAGGTACTAATCACTGTATATTCCAAACACCTAGCCATCACTATTTGGCCTTTGTGAACGTCACTCATATCTTTTTGCTTGCCCATCTGTCTTTCATGAAATTCAAGAACTGACTGTTCACTTGCACCCTAATATATCCCACCCCTTTGACAGGTGCCATCGTATTGATATAATCAATGTTATTCACTTCATCTTTCAGGGGTTTTAATGTTATGGCTGATCAGTGTATAGAAAAAGACAAGTTTATAATTTCAAAATAAAATGCAATATGTGTGTGTATACATTATTCTTGAAACACATTTAAACTTCGACACAACAGCTTCATTAAATCTGTGGTCTTGAGAATAGTGCAGTGCTTTTTTTTTTATTTGTATAAATTTTTTATTTTTCAAATTTAAGATTTCATCCGTATACAAACTTTCGTAGAAAAATAGGTTTTAAGATATTACAGAAAATCAATTATTATACACATAATATTATACGCATAATTAATAAAACCATATTTTATACTTTTATACACTAACTGCAGTCAGATCTATAGATTACATACATTAACACTTTCTTACACTTCAAATCTATAGATTACATACATTAACACTTTCTTACACTTCCACATAAAGCTGTTACATTTCCTAAGAGAGGTTAGGTTGTCATTGGAGGGAGGGGGGTTTTAATTTTAAGACTAAGATATCTATTCCAAGGGGCCCAAATCTCCTCATGTTTCTCCTTGGATACTTTATTTAATGCTATACCTGCTTCCATCCTACATTGATAATCCACTTGTACACAAATATCTTGCCAAACCAACGGACCCACATTTCTCCAGTTTCTAGCTATAACTAGTTTAATTGCCATAAAAATATGGATCCTAAGAATTATTAATTTTATATTGACCCTTGGCATATTTAAGTGAAATGGGAACGTTTGAGCCATAATAACAGTTTGTGCATTCAGCATAAAATTTACAAAATCCGATAAAGTTGCTTTCATAGGTTTCAACTCTTCACAGTCCCACCATATGTGAGAGAATGAGCCTAGTTCCCTACCACATCTCCAACAATCTGGTAGAAGTGTGGGTTGAAATCTATGAAGGCGAGTGGGCACCAGATACCATCGATACACAAGTTTAAAGTACACTTCCCGTATATTTACCCCACGGATATGTTTTTTTACTAATTGTATGCCCAAAAGCCAATCTTCAACCGGAGAAGAAAAATGGAGTTGTTGCTCCCATTTATTCATTGCTGACACTTTATCTATTTGCCTTTGGCTTCTTATAAATTGGTTAAACTTGGAGGCAATTTTTTTCCTGTGATGGAATGCTATAATCTGGTCAATTTGAGAGGTTTCCGAAAAAGTTTTCCCTATGATAAAAGATTTTATTCTTAAATAGTTAAATATTTCTTTGGAAGGAAGGTTGTAGTTAAGCTGTAACTCTGGGAATGATAATATTTTATTATCATCTAATATTTCCGCAAATTTTGCAATTCCGCACTTTTCCCATTCTTGTATATTTATGTCTTTTATATTTTTTATAACTAAGCATACTGGTGCATGGTCAGACCATATTATAGGTCCAATTTTAACTTTACTAACTCGATCCAAAGTGTCGGCCCTAACCAGAAAGTAATCAATTCTAGTGTATGACTGATGGACATTTGTAGAGAACGTATAATCTCGCTCTTCTGGATTTAATATTCTCCAACAGTCATACAAACGATTCTTTGCTAAAAAAGTCTGTATCATTGATGATCCTATTTTTTGACTATCATCTCTATTTGCAGGCTTAGTTCTGTTCCTATCTACCTTGGAATCTATAATGCAGTTAAAATCCCCTCCAATAATCAAGCTACCAGACGATACGCGATCAACCTTTTGCAATAAACTTTCCAAAAATCTGTGAGGGAGTTGGTTTGGAGCATATACATTTACCAATGTGTACAGTATGTCATTGATTCGAGCTATTACTATTAAGAACCTGCCACCAGGATCAACCTCCTCATAGACAAGCTCATACTTCAAGCTACTTGAAAAAAAAATCGCTACACCTCTTTTCTTATTTTTTCCAGTCAAATTAGATCTATGAACCACTGGAAATTTTTTATAGTTCCATAGCTTAGATGTAGAGTTAATCCAATGTGTTTCCTGGACAAAACCAATATCCATTTTACTGTCCATCATTAATTTATATAAATATCCTCTTTTTTGTCCTGAGTTTAAACCCCTTGCATTTATAGATAATATATTAAGTGACATCTTGCCATTGCTCCCCCCACTCCTTCATATCCTCTAACCACCTCTCAAATAACAACCAACACACAAATCCTCTCATACCATCCCCATTCGGCCATATAATATCTGGCCTCCTGAGTAAACTCCATACTTGGACATTCATTCCATTATACGAAGAACTTCTGAATAAAGTCTTCATATTTAAACTTGCTGCCATCACAGGATCTCGAACCAGGATAGTGGGCCTTATTTTCCTTTTATCAAAGACGCTACTTTGCTGTTTTTCAAAAGTACAATATTAACTCCACATTCTATCTACTAATTGTTCCCTAGTTATACCGTTATACGTTGACAAATTTTTTCTGAGACAACTTCAGCTAAGATCTCTTTCTCTTTCTCTTCCCCTCTTTTCCTCTCCCTTCTCTCTTCTTATCTTATCCTCAATTTTCTCATTTACTTTTCTCACCTCATAGAGATTCCTATTTTCTCCTCTAAGTCAATTCTCCCATCTTCTTTCCCTCTCTCTTTCCTTCTCCTTTCCTTTCCCTTATCCCTCCCCTCTACTTTCCCTTTTCTAATAATGTGACAACCTATTTCATATTTATTTAAGTGATATCTATTTTTTAATTAAACACCCCTTTTCCTTTCTTCCCTTCTTCCCCTTCCCACCCACTTCTCATCTTTCATTTACTTTTCTTATTCCCTATTCAATTTCCCTTTGTGAACTGAAGTTTTAAATTTGTGCATTTATAATATTCATTTTCTTCAAAAAATTTTTTCTTGTGCAATTGTAATGCTCATTTTCATTCTCTATTCTTTTCCACTTTCTAGTGCAACTATGTTTTAAGAAGGTTTTTACTCCATCTGTGAATATAATTTTCAACCCTTCCTTCTTATCCCTTAATTTTAGGGTAGACCTATCCCTTATTCTTCCTTTTCTTTTCCTTATATATATGTTTACTACCATAATCTCCAAAACATTTCCATTTCTTTTAAACCATGCTAGAGAAAAATATAACCCTTATCATTCTTATCTACCCAATACAGGAGAAAAGAGAGGAAAAAAAAATAAAAAAATAAAATAAAAAATAACAAATTCAATTTGAGGTTGGGATAAGTTTCCAGATTATCATTTTCTCTTTTAATGCCATATTGTCTCTGAAAATATATGATTGGTCCCTAAAAAAGACCATAATTGCCATCGGAAATAGCCACTTGTATCGTATCTCCATATTTCTTAGAACTGCCGTCTCCTCTGAAAACGATCTTCTTGCTTGTCTTGTCTTTTGAGATAAGTTCTGAAAATTTTTTAGATGCCTCCATTCGTCGGTGTCCAGGATCTTATTCCTTACTTTCTGCATTATTAGATTTTTTATCCGAAAGCTCGAAAAGCAGACTATTACATCTCTTGGTTTGGATTTGTCAATTCCATTTGGTTTAGGCAATCTATGGAATCTTTCAAAAGATTCAAGGCCCAGTGTCTGCAGGGACAGAATATTTGAAAAAAAACTGTCCAGATAAGAATATAGATCTTCTTGTGTTATTGTTTCAGATATGCCTCTGACTCTAATATTATTTCTCCTGGAGCGGTCTTCAAAATGTATAATTTTATTCTCCATGTCTTACAATTTCTTCTCTAATTGTGCATTAGATAGTTTGATATGTTCATAATCATCTTGAACTTTTTGTAATATAATTGCCTGACTTGAGAGTTTCTCAGAAAGAATGGAAACTTCCGATCTGATGTAATTTGTGTTGTGTTCTATGTCATCTTTGATTTTTTTTATATAGATTGTCCAGCATTTGGGTTAATAATTGTTGCGTCATTCCCTGTGGAGTTTTTGGCAGATGTGGAAAGTCTTCTTCTGATAAATTAGACATTTGGTGGGCAGACATCTCTGCATTTTCTAGGGGCAAAGATTTTCGTTGTCTTTCTAATTCTGTAGCTGCCATTTTAGGTGAGTAATATGTACCAATTGTTACTTTCTTTTTCTCAATTATTAAGGCTTTCTCTTTTTTAGGAGCCATATGTAGTGAGGAATCTCTACTTTGGCTTCGATATAAAGATTTTCGTTATATTTGCCTCGTTGCTTTAACTTAAGCTTTACTCTCAAAGATATATAACACTGTTTTTCAATTTTAATTTGATATGATTAACTTGTAGTTTTAATTTTGTCTCCTCCAGCCTTTATTATTAAAAAGGTCTCTAACCCCTTTTATTTATTTTTTGTCTCAGCAAATAGCAGATGGAGAAAAATGGAGATAATTGGAAGGTAGATAAATAGAAGGTAGATAGATATTTCTCACAAGTATATCTTCATTGAATTCTCTATCCCCAATTTGTGAACTCCTCTTACTCCTCTTACTTCTCCTTTTTTCCTACTTTTCTCCTTTCTCCCTCCTCCTCCTCCCTTTCCTCTTTCTTTCACTTTAATTTTCCTCCCTTCTTCCTTTTCACCGTTCTGCTATTCTGCCCCACAAGAAATGCCAAAAAAGTCTGCCCCAAAAGAAATGCCTCAAAGAAGCCCATGTACCTGCATACAGGCTAAGGATAATGGGGTCAGTCTTTTCTGGCTGGTACTCGTTGTCCCGACCTGCCTCCCTTTTTCGGCCGCTTCAATTGTAAATGCCGTCGAGCTCGGCGTCCATGCTGCCTCGCTGCCTCGCTGCCTCACTTCCTGGTCCCAAAGGCGCGCGGACCTACGCACGTGCTTACGTCACGCACGGCCTGCCCATTCTATCAGTATATCTAGTGCAGTGCTTTTAACATATTGTTTTGACCTATCTCACAAATGAAAAAAAGATTTAAAAAATATGGACCTCAATAAAATTTTCCAACACAGATGCATTATCACCAGGGGATGAGCTGGTAACATTTGGTCTGGCAGGAGCAAACAGAAATGAATGGAGTTTATGAAGATTTCAAAAGTCCCTGAACGTAACCTTGTCTTGCAGTCTAGTCAATCCTAGATGCTACGGTCCGCCAGAAAATCAACCTGACTAGCCCTAAAGATCTTTGACATCAGCCCATTAATTTGCCCCCACCACTCTTGCAAGCTCAACCATAATTATCACATTGTCTTTATTGTCTTACATTTTGCTTTTCAGTTTCTAATTTGCTAGAATTTTAGTTTGTTAAACAGCATAGATTTTATAAAATCTATTTTTAATTCACTTCTGTGACTAAACCCCCAAATGTAATGTGGTGAATAAGTGCTGTTTTAATTTGTCTAATGACAAATATAATATACTATAACATTTAAGCTTCTACTCCCAGTAAAGAAATTGCTTTAATACAAGCAGGCTAGACTATTTTTTCAAAGATGACAACACTGTTTAAGCAGACTTTTTATTATGGCATGAAAGATGGGTTAAGTATAGAGGACAGGACACATTACACCACAAAAAATGCCTTTACACACTTCTTTTGCTGTAATTGTCATAAATAGCACTGAAAGCTGTTGTCATGCATAATTTATTTCTCTCTCACTTACTGAGTAAATATAAGACAGTGATTTCCTTGTACTTTGTGCCAAGAATGTCCCATCTTGTGAAATCTAAGTATAAAACATGCTTGTTTTATTGGCATTTATGCAACTCTAGAATTATAGATTTTTAGGCTGAAGTAGCATTTGTTTTGTTCTACTTTTTAAATGGTCAATATTATTAACCCATTCAATACCAAATTATTTTCATAAATAAAATAAATTTGTAATATTGTTTTTTAAATATAGGCTAAATAGGTAGGGCATACAAAAATAACTAAGTAGTAAGTTTTTATGTGCATTGATCAGAGATACTTTCAAATAATATAAATTTACAGGGTTTAATGTTCATTAATTAGTTCTCATTTTTTTTAAATACTGTGCATATTTAAAATTAAATTGGTTATACAGATTTCAAACAATAAAATTTGCATATTCTGAAAATGTCTTGTATCACAATAATTATTTTGTGACACACA